CCAGGGTACTGCCGGAACGTACCCTGGTACTATCTAATATGCCGGACCGTACCTCGCCTACTCCACTAACGAATCTAGGGAGTCGCCTATGCCTAACCCTAACCCTAACCATATCAGATAGTTACCAGGGTACGTTCCGGTATACCAGACCGTACCCAGGGTACGTTCCGGCAGTACCCTGAGGGACATAGACCCTCGAGCGAAACTAGCCACCGATTCGAAGTTGAGTGCAGTGTATACTGATGGAGTAAGGATCGGTGTCAGTGTAGGAGAGTTTGCGAGTGCTTTACTTGCAGGTGTGTTTTGTTTAAAAGTTACTTTCAAGATATTGCTGCAAGATTGTCCGGCCTTTCCCGTTCTCACTGTAAGTTAAATGCAGTGAACCAGTCGCATATCTCTGAGACACAGCTGCTGTCCTGCCTTTCCCGTACCTTGGACAGCTCCACGAGTGAGCCCTCATCGTTGACGCTGTACTACCTCTCCCTTCCTCACTGCATACTAACGCACACTGACACTCACTGACACACACTGACACACTCACGCACGCTGACACACACCGACACACACCGACACACTGACACACACCGACACACTCACGCACGCTGACACATACCGACAGATCTAGACACCGACATACACTGACACACACTGACACACACCGACACACACTACACACACTGACACACACTACATACACTGACACACACCGACACACACCGACACACTCACGCACGCTGACACACACTGACACACACACCGACACACTCACGCACGCTGACACACACTGACACACACCGACACACACTAACACACACTACACACACTAGCACACACCGACACACACAACACACACGACACACACTAGCACACACCGACACACGCAGACACACTGTGAATGCGGGGGGTCACGACCCCCTACCTTGGACAGCTCCACGAGCGAGCCTTCATCGTTGACACTGTACTGGCTGAGCATGAATGAGCTCGTGATGACAACGAGGATGCTCTTGTCTTCGTAGTAAAGCAGACGCTTGACGGGTTCCTCTGCCGTGTACATTTATGTAATAATAATAATGAAAAATACAAGTGTAGTGCTGTTGTAGGTACGTAATATTATACAGGTACAAAGATATGTAGATGTAGATGAATGTACATAGATGACACAAAATGATGAGACTACCCTGATGAGACTCACCTGGAATGTTCGCACCTGTACCTTGCCCTGCTCGATCAGGTAGAGGCTCTGCTGACTCATCGCTACGTCAGACGAACCGCTCGCAAACGAACCTGCGCAGAGAAAAAAACTCGACAGTGACAACAATGCATGCATGTCGACGCGTCGGTCTCACGGGCGACCTAAAGACTTCACCCGCGGACGTAAAGATTTCTCATTCGCCAATCCCCCCCCCCCCACGATTCGTTCTCAGGGTTAAAGTGATTACGTCACCATAAATAGTAAAAGTAAAAGAAATTAAATGGCACACGCACCGATGATTTAAACCAACTGCCACTCCCCCTCCCAACACCAATTAATACTAGGACCGTTTAAAAACAAACAAATATTTAAATGAATGAACGAATAAATTATTAATAAATAAATAAATTTCAGACCTTCCTCAGACCTGAGGAAGTCTATCGGAGAGATGGACGAAAATTTCGTCAGTGTAAGTTATTTTTAACTTAATTTGGATCTAACTAAGATGAACTTTATTAGCAAATAAATAAATGTTTCAAAAAATAACTATAAGCTCGCACGCACCGATGAGCTTGACGGCTAGGTGGTCGGTGGAGATGTCGTACACGAGCACGCGCTTGCCGTTCCACGCGGCGAGGTTGTCTCGCGTCACCCACACACCCTTCACCTGTATCTCCGTCTTCAGCTGGTAGCAGGTGCCCAGCGAGAACACCTCCAGCCAGATCGACACCGGAGATATCTGCACTGCTGCCACCTGCGGGCGGACGAGGGAAACGCGCGTCGTCACACGATGAGCGGGTTTTATGGTCGGGAAGGGGGATGTGGGTGGTGGGGGGGGGGGAGTGCAGGGGTGGATCCAGGATTTTTGAAAGGGGGTGTCTTAAATAAAGGGCGCTTTTTCCTGCTTAATTTTTGTGGTGTTTCAAAAAGCTGCTAAAGGCACTTAGGGGGGGGGCATAGTTTTAGGAGGATTTACGAGCCATCTACCTCACCACAGTAGTGCGTCACCATGCTGTGTTCCTCCAGCACGTAGGCGCAGTGCACCGTGCAGATGCCCAGCAAGTTGTTGCTGCCCCACTGAAAACACAAAGAACAATCACTGAAAACACAAAGAACAATCACTGAAAACACAAAGAACAATCACTGAAAACACAAAGAACAATCACTGAATACAAAGAACAATCACTGAAAACACAAAGAACAATCCCTAAAACCACAAAGTACAATCACTAAAAGCACAAAGAACAATTACTGAAAACACAAAGTACAATCACTAAAAACACAAAGAACAATCACTAAACACACACAGAACAATCATCACAAATAACAATCACTGAAACCAAAGAAGCCGCGAGACGTCAACACACCGACACCACGAGCGCAGCATCCGATGTATGAGTCCAGGTGGGCTTCAGTAACTGATAATGATAAATGAGTAACGAGCTTTCGGCATACGAATCCCTTTTTCCTCGTTCAAACTCGAACAGTGTTGCTTGTTTCGGACGCACGCACATTTCCTTTTGCTTGCTTCTTAGTGGTCCCCGCCAAGCCCCGCACCGCCCATACGTACCGTCACGTGTTTGATGATGCCCTCTAGCGGTGCGGGGGCCTGCAGCTTCCACTCCTCCTCCCTGTGCTCGGTGCGAATGTGCTGGTGCTTCCAGAGCACGACGTTGCCGAGGCTGGTGCCTCCAGCGAGCACGCCTGCAAAGCAGACGCGAAACCAGCGCGCGTTACGTGACGTTGAAACGACGTCATTGCCTAGTACACCACGCCACATGTGTATAGCTGCTGTGTTTATTATTATATGGTGACTGTGTTTATCATTGTTTGATATAACTACTGTGTTTACTACTATTTGGCATAGCTACTGTATGTGTGTTGCATGTGTGTGTACGCATTATATAATAATATATTTTCCCTTTGTATCATTTTGTTCCACACAGGGGTTACCGAAATCCCTTCTGGATTTTTATAAGATACAGAATTTCTTAACAAAATACATGAAAATATGGGACAGTCGAAAATAGGACAAATTTAGGCACAGAGGACACACAGTGGACATGCTGAACATGACCATGGGCACGTCGTGACTGCACTTATCACCTTTCTGCTTTGAATAGGCGATACATATGACGTTCTCCGAGGGCTGAAAACCGGCCTGACCTTGCAAACCGAGCACAAAGTTTTCGCTGTTCTCAAGATCCCATAACCTGCAAATATAAGTGTTGCGATAAGGTTATGTGGAGTTTCCACAGGGGTGGCATAACTCCTCATCTTAGAAGGTTATAAGCGTGGATTTTCCAGGGCGGTAAAAAGGAAAAACATTAAAAGTTAATATTTTACGCTCGATTGGAAACAGTCTCAGTCTCAAATATCTTAAACATTAAATATCATCATCGTTGTATTTTATTTTATTTCATTAATATACAACTTGGAGTATCACTTCTCAAAACTGATTATGAATGCTCACAACTGTACGCTTTTAGCAACCAATTCATTCGAGAAAAAGAGAGCGCACAAAATGGCCGCCATCGAGTCCCACCTGACAATGTTTTCTCCGGTTGCCGTGGCGAGCACACCCTTGCCCACCCATATGATATCAGCCTCCTGCGGTCGGCCAGACAGCTTAACCTGCAAACAACACAGTCAGATATCATCAATACTAATCCCGAGGTGTGGGTTGGAGTGATGTGAATCTTCGTTGGACAGCAGGCCTTAGAGAGCGCCCACGAGCATTCTCATGAAGAAACTAGCGCTGAGAGGGTCTATGTCCCCCAGGGTACTGCCGGAACGTACCCTGGTACTATCTAATATGCCGGACCGTACCTCGCCTACTCCACGAACGAGTCTAGGGAGTCGCCTACGCCTACTCCCT